CAAACAAAAAAGAAGTTGAGGGGAGCGGCTGGAGATGGCTGACATGCTCGTCTGCAAGCACAAGGCCTTGAGTCTAGGTGCTCAGGGTCTGTGTAAAAAGCCAGGGTCAGTGTCATGATCTACAGTCTTAGCTCAGGATGGCATGGAAGTGGAGAAAAGTGTGTGCATGGAGCTTGCTGACCAGCCGGTGTGACCCACCAGAGAGCCCCGGGTTCCGTGACACTGCCTCGGCAAGTGGAGGATGACTGAGGGGGACTCCAGAGTCTCCACACTGTTAGAGCCAAACGCTCAATTTTCAATTCAATGCATCATAAGGGTTATAAAGAAACAGACATATGGCCCATTCAAAGGCCCCCAAACAAAAAATTAACCGAAACTTCACTTGAGTATGACCAGAGAACAGACATGGTAGACAGAAACACTAAGATGGCGATCTTAAAGATGCCCAGAGAATGAAGGAAGATGCGGGGACAGTCCAGAAATTGAGGTGTCAACAAAATGGGAACACCAGAAAGGAATCAAGAAGTCGCTCTAAAGCTTAGAAGTAAAACTTGTGAAAGAGCTGATGTAGGAGCAGACCCAAGGGAAATCAAGACTGGCACCTGGACTGAGGAGCGAGCAATGCATGATACGGAGCAGAGCCTGAGAGACCCAAGGCTGCCACAGGCAGACCAAAGGACACACTGTGGGATTCAGGAGGCAAATAAGTGAGAGAAAGGTCTAGAGAGATTGCTGGGAGAAACATGCTGGAGAGTCCCCAGTTTAAAAAAAATGAATTCCAACAGCCAAGAAGTTCAGTGGACTCTAAAGTGGTGGCATAGTAACCCACACTGAGGCATTCCAACAAACGTCTGAACACTAAAGACAAAGAGAATTTCAAAGCAGCACATTAGAAAGAACCCTTCACAGACAAGGGTCCTCAGCGAGGTTGTCCACACATTTCCCACAGACCCTCTGGCGGAGAAGGTCCTGGGCTACAGATTGCTAACGTGCTGAGAGGAAATAAGAAGAACTCTCAAGGCCAAATCTTACATTCAGCATCCTGTTCTAGGAAGCGAAGGCATCCCAGACAGGCTGGGGGAGGCTGAGACTGCTGGGCTGCCTGCTGTAGGCCACACGCAAGGTATTCTTGGAATAAAAGACACTGCAAGGCAACCGAAAGTCATAGGAAGAATAAAGGTCTCAGAAAGGGAAGTGTGTGGTCAATTAGAAAGTAACATTTGCAATGAGACATGACTCCAGTTCCCCTACAAAAGTCATGAGACTGGGGAATAATAAGGAAATTATTCCAAAGCTGTCATTGTTAGGGTCCAAGAAACCATGAAAGACCGGGTTTGAGCAAGACAAAAATTTACTTAGGAAAAACTGGTATCATGGAGGTGGCAGGGTTCAGGCTCCAAACCATGCTGCCCAAGCCAGGGGTAGCATCCAGTTTTAAAGGGGAAAACCACAAGGACAGTCCCATCTAATCATAATGTAATACAGCGAGAAGTAGTTGGGGACTTTCCCTGGTGACACACTTTCAGCCTAACAGGGAGTTCTGTAATTTGGTGGTTTGGACTGGCTCTTGACCAACAATCAGATGGGTGTGTAATGTTTGTGGTTTACACCTGTGTGAGGGGCTTGTGGGGTTGCAGCCTAGTCTTAGGAAATTGTGAGTAGCAGCTCAGGGCAGAATGGCAGCCTGGGACAAAATGGAGTATCTGCTGCTAGCTATAATTTGGTCTGGAAGCCCACACTTTGTTTTCTACATGGCACAGAGATTAGTGAATTGAAACAATGGTTAATTTATGATTTGGGATACATGTTTGGATACAATGTAATGTCGTGATGCCAATCACGTACTGGACTGAGCTGAGGCTAGACCTCTACAGGAGAGGGGTTTTACATGCTGTTGAAGTTGATGGGTGTGTATACAACAGGTGCGGAGTGCTACTTTATGATGTTTGATATAACCACAAAGAATTGCTACCCTGTATCTTCTATGAGCCCCACTGTGAAAGTCAACCCAACCGAAAGACAACCGTAATCAGGACACATGGGACAGAAATGAGAAATTTAGAAAGCAAATAGCAAAATGACACAAAAAGCCTCATTCTCAATAGAAGTCATTGCTAAGTGAATCCCTGCTACCCTAACAAAGATGATCAACCCAGTCAACAGAGCCTGGGTTGGGAGGTGGCTCAGTTCATGCCTAGCAAGCACAAAGCCATGGGTTTGGCAGCCAGTAATGCGTAAAATGGCCACAATTGTGTCTTCCTGTAATTCTAACACTGACTGGGGAGGTAGAGGAAGAGGATCAGACATTCAAGACCACACAGCTACAGAATGAGTCCAAGTTAGACTTGGGCTGTCTGAAACCCTTGAGAAGTATCCGGAGAAGTCAAATCCATAGAAACAGAAAGAGGGTTTGGGGGTCCCAGGGTCTGGAAAGGAAGTATCTGGAGAAGTCAAATCCATAGAAACAGAAAGAGGGATGGGGGTCCCAGGGTCTGGAAAGGATGGTGGGGTTCAATGTGTTATAGGAGGTTTCTGTCCTGCCCAGACTTCTGAAATAATCACACAGAAACCATATTATTTGCAATACTGTTTGGCCAATAGCTTAAGCGTATTCTGGCTAACTCTTACATCCCATCTCCTTTAATCTGTGTATTGCCATGTGGCTGTGGCTTACGGGGTAAAGTTTCATCCCGAGCGTCTGTCTCCCGAGGGGCTCCATGGCTTCTCACTGACTCCGTCTTCTTCCTTCTCCAGCATTCGGTTTAGTTTCCCCCACCTAGCTAAGTTATGCCTTGCTCTAGGTCCAAAGCAATTTATTTATTAACCAATGGTAATCACAACATGCAGAGGGGAATCCCACATCATCACTGCTTAGTGGGGATAACTTCTGTCTAGACAGATGAAAACATTCTGTGGATTATTAATAGGTAGTGATGGTGGTTCATCACTAGTGATGAATGGATGGTGATGGTGGCTCAGTCTTAATGTTCTTATTGCCACTCAACTGTTTAAATAGCTACAAAGGTGTTTTGTCACCATAATAAAGTTTTATTAAAAAACCAACTCACTACACTGTAGGGTGTGGCAGTACACGTTTGTGCTATCAGCTCTCTGGAGGTGGAGGGAGGAAGATCAATAGTCCAAATCCATCCTGGACTACATGTAACCAAAACAAAAACACTTCCAGAAAATAGACAGACACACCTTTTCTTAGTGCTGCATCCTTGGTGAAGGCTGCATCAGGTCACAGTGACCTAGAATCCCAGAGACAATGGGTCCAGTTGTTGGTCCTGTACTTCCCTTCCTCTCTCTGTCTGTCTGTCTGTCTGCCTGCCTGCCTGCCTGTCTGTCTGCTTTTTGAGACATGGTCTCTCACTGGCATGGAAATCACCAAGGAAGCTAGACTGACTGTTCCGCAAGCATCTATCTGTACTTCTCTACTGTTGGGATTATAGGCACATACCACCACACACAGCTTCTCGTGATTCTGGTGGGTTCTGGAGACCAAACTCCAGATCTCATGCTTGCAAAACAAGCACTACGCTGACTGAGCCGCCTCCCCAGCCTTCTGCCTCTACGAAGGTTCCATCATGGCATTTAGGGCTCTTAGTGTCATCTCCCCATGCCTAAATCTTTAGCTTATTCCCATCGAGTCAGTCACCTTTGGGTGAGGCAGGGCACCTACACTTCTAGGCTTGGAATGTGGACAGCTCCATTCCTGGTGGGTTGTAGCCCTGCTGACTTTCTACTGTTCTATGTAAGTTGTCTAAAGGAACCAGGACAACAAACAGGCCTTCAAGGTTGGCAGCTATGACTGGTCATGGTGTTGCCTCAGTCCCTTATCAGGAATGCGTGTCTCACCAGGATAACCCCTGAGCCTCGTTAACCAGAGGAGGTAATCGTGACAGTAGAGTGGCTGAGGTCATACAGCCTTTAACCTTAGATGGTTTGTCTGGGAGGTGTGATGAAGTCAGCCACTTCCCTGAATGCATGACCATGTGTGCAGGCTCTCACTGCACAGCGGGCTCAGGCAGAAGGCTGTTGTGCTTGGATGCTGGCCAAGATCTGGGTAGGATGTGATCCTGTCCCTGTTGGGGTGGGTATGGTAGCTAGCCTGTCGAAATATAACTGGGACCCCAGAAGGGGAGCAAGACACAAGCCTGTGGCACAGCAGGATACTTTCCTTGTCCAGGGAGCCTGGGAGTGTGCCAGGGGAAAATTCTCCGCAATGGGCAGATGAAGCCTCCAGAGGGGAGGGAAGCCCTAACTCACGGCGCAACCTGGCTGGTCCCTTTTCCCTTTGGGCTTTCTATTTTGTTGCCATAAAATGGGAACAAAAATTTACTTTTAGGATCCTGCAAGTTGGGAAGGAAGACCAGGTTTTACACTTGGCCTCACTGAATATCTTTACAGAGCTGAGCCTTGCTCAGCCTATGAACATCATCAATGGACACTAACCTGCTTTTGCACCCCTGCCTCCCAGCATCTCCAGCCTGTTGCTTATAATACACCCAGTCTATTGATGCCGAGTATCCACAGTTCACTGGCCCCACAACATCCCCAGTTCAGTGTCCTCCAGCATCCCCAGCTCACTGTCCCCCAGCATCCTTAGTCCACTGTCCCCCAGCATCCTTAGCCCACTGTCCCCCAGCATCCCCAGCCCACTGTCTCCCAGCATCCTTAGCCCACTGTCCCCCAGCATCCCCAGCCCACTGTCCCCCAACATCCTTAGCCCACTGTTCCCCAGGATTCCCAGCCCAATGCTCCTTAGCATCCCCAGTCCACTGACAACAAGAATTCCAAGCCCACTGGTCCCCAGCATACCCAGTTCACTGACATCCAACATCCCCAGCCCACTGAGATCCAGCATCCTCAGTCCACTGGCCCCCCCAATATCTTCAGCCCCCCAACATTCTGAGCCCAATGTTCTCCATTGTGCCTCCTTTTATTCTGTATGTGGTGTGAATGTCACTGTGGATTCCTCTTCTGTCCCCTGGCAGGCCGCGAAGGGAACCCTCCCTGGACTTATTGGAGAAACAGAGGGGCCTGAAGGTGCTCTGAGGAGGTCGGTTTCATACCCTTCTCTCTTTCACACTTTGTAATTGTGAACAGGGTCTAGACCCTGTTGAAACGTAGGGAGGAAAAGGTTTATTTTGGTAACACTTCTGTACCACAGTTCATCTTTGAAGGCAATTAAACAGGAAACTCAAATAAATAAGGACTCAAACAAGGCAGGAAGCTGGAGGCAGGAACTGATGCAGAGGCCACGGAGAGGTGCTGCTTACTGGCTTGCTGCTTATGCTCAGCCTACATGGTGGTAGAATACAAGACCACCAGTCCAGGGATGTCCCCACCCACAATGGACTGGGCCATTCCCCACCAATCACTAATTCAGAAAATGCCCCCCTACAGGCTTGCTTACAGCCCCATTTTGTGGAGGCACTTTCTCAACTGAGGCTCTCCTCTCTCAGATGATTCTAGCTTGTGTCAAGTTTACATAAAACTAGCCAGCACACGAGCTGAATTCTATCCCCTAAAAATCATATGTTGAGATCCCTAGCGCCTAGTCCCTCGGATTGGGACTTTTGGGAAACTGCCCTCTAATAGACTATTAAGGTACGGGAAGTTACTTATATGACCCAATCCAATCTGGCAGGATTGCCAGATTGTTCTGTTCTAGACAGGATCTGTTCTGTCTAGAAGAGGTCAGGGCACAGGCACACAAAGAGGGTGACGTGTGAGGCTATGAAGGGGAAGTTGCCCTCTATATACCAAGGAGTGGAACTTTGAGAGAATGTCACCTCTAGGCACTGTGATCTGGGGCTCTTTCCTCCTCCACCAGGAGCAGACAATTTCCCAGTGTTTCAACCCTGCCTGAAACATCTTCTAAGCTGGACAAGGGACTGACAATGGTCGCTGGATGATGACCTGTCTGGAGTAGGGGCAACCCAGCCGGATGGGGTTCAGGTGGGGGCTTAGGGAGCAGGAGAAAGGAAGGATGGACATTTGGAAAAGGGATTGGAGCACCGGAAGGCAATCTTGGACATATTTAACTTTCAACCACACCCTTAGAGATGACACACGTCAGAGGTGAAAGAGGGACCGAGGCCCCACCCACCACAGCAGCATGGACTATAAAGACAGGCTGGTCCAGCACTAGCCTGAGCCAGACACACGCTCTGCTTGCCCATTGCCCAAGATGAGGACTCATCTGCTTTGGTTGTTGCCCCTGATTCTGCTGGGCTCCTCAGGTAAGCCAGGAGGGAGGAACCATGTCCTAGGTCACCAGAGTTCCTCAGGACTCTGGCTGACATCCCGACCTGGCTGGATCTGCCTCCAGATGATGTGGTCCTGCTGTTCAGAGGAGGTGCTGGTATAGGGGACAGGACCTGCTGGAGGCCTCACAGCCGGGCTGCCTGAGCTGGGAGGTGGGACACAATCTAGCCATGGAACCCTTTTGTGGTACCTTCACTAGCCTTAAAATTCTTTCATTACATTTATATTCTCTCTCTCTCTCTCTCTCTCTCTCTCTCTCTCTCTCTCTCTCTCTGTGTGTGTGTGTATGAGGTCATGTCAAAGTGTGCGTGTGGAGATCAGGGGACCACTTGTTGGAATTAATTCTCTTCCACCATGTGAGTTTTTGGAGATTGAGCTCAGATCTTTGGGGGCTTGGCAGCAAGCGCCTCTACCCACTGAGCCATCTCACTGGCTCTCCCTACTCGTCGTTTCTATTAAGTCTAGATATCCTGTTGGACTTGCTGTCTCTTTTGCCAAGTCTTGTGGGATTAGCATCATGTGTCTGGTGACCTTCTGCTGTGGGTTATGACCAGCAGCACGGACTGCTGGTTGCTTAGCGCTTTGGTTTCCTGGACCAGAGACAGAGTCCTATGCCCCCGTGCCTCAGTGTGGCTGCTGAGGGGCTGTCCACGTGGGTGACTGGAGAACAGAATGGGTTGCTCGGTGATTAGTGCTTCCCACAGAACTGCCTAGGCACCCTGTGCTGTCTGGTGTGGTTATGGAATGTCTCCATCTCTGACCCCAACTGTGTCCCTCCAGCTCAGGCGCTGAAATGTCACGAGTGTAGTACCACCACTGGAAGCTGCTACAACCCTAGATCTTGCAGCGACAAGAGCCGCTACTGCTTGACTACCTGGTATGGTGAGTACCTTGGTCCTGGGTGGGTGGGACAGGGGATGGAACCTTTCATCTGGCACCCGGGGATACTAGGGTAAGACAACTTGCTGGTAGAGTTGGGGGGGGGGACTGGGAAGATATGGCCCTGAGAGTCCTCTTAGTTGTTGAGAGGTTTTGAGCGCACTGCCCTCCCTTCAAAATGGAACCAACAGTACTGTCTTAGAGTGGGTGGGATATTCCAAGTGAGCCACCGTATATAGTCAGCCATGTGAAACGTGCGATTCTAACCATTCCCAAGAGTGCTGGCTGCTCAGAAAGGAAAGGGGAGAAAAGTGGGGAGTGGGTAACCCTAGTCGCATTCCTGAGCCCTGACCTTGGATCCCACTTTGAGTCCTAATTCTGGTCATATTCTGAACCTTATATCTGGTCACAATCTGAGTCTTGGTCTTCATCACAATGATCTCCAACCCTGGATTACGTATTAATCCTTAATCTTGGCCACATACTGAGCCCTGTTTCTGATCACAACCTGAGTTTGACCCTCCTGACCTCTTGCTGTGTGTCCCTCTGAAATGGAGGTTGTAGGTGGCCTGGGTTTGCTAATAGGGCCAGGAGTGTGTCTTACAGGTCTCAGTAAATGGCTCCCCTTCTGCCCTCTGTTTCCAGCACCCCCAGGCCAGCCAACGCTCATGACAAGAACATGTGGATTTACCTGTCCTGATGTCCTTCAGAACCAGAATCACTCCAAGGCCTCCTGCTGCAACACGGACCTCTGCAACAGTACCGTGAGCCTTCACGCCAGCTGGGTACTGCTGATCCTCAGTGTTTGCTTTATCTATCTCAGCCGATAGGTGCAAAACTCCCATGTAGGCTTAGAAGCTGCTGCTCGGAGGCAGGTGTCATCATGTGACCGAAATGTTTCATAGCCTTAGGTGTGGTACTTCTACTCCAGTCAGAAGGATTCTAAGAGAGAATGTTCACTGAGTACAATCACTAGAGCTGAAGATGGGGGTCCTGGAGCTGGACCACAGGCAGAGGCTTTTGGCTGGAGACCCTCGCCACTGTCCAGGGTGCTGTATGTGGCGCTCTGTCTCCAAGGTCGCCATCTGCTGGCCTCCAAGTGCTGGTGCAAGGAAGACATCATGGCTGTGAATCTGTTACCGGGATTGTGAAAGACCCCTCCAGGAGGCACAGTGAACTGTTGGGGGGGGGGGCGTCTTCTTTTCATACATCCCACGGCTCCCTCCTTGCAACTACCTCAGAGGACCTGAGTCTGAGCATCACCACTTCAAAAGAACTGAGCTCCAGTGCATGTTACCTGCTGATTCCTGGACCGGTACTGAAGTTTGCTGCTTTAACCTGAATTTAAAGATTCTTGGCAAATGGAAACCCTGTGGAGAGGCCTCCAGTCCGGCTGTGGGGCCTCCAGTTCGACTGTGGGTGAAGGGCAGATGCTGGGACAGTTTTTCCTTGAACAAGGCACAGGTCAACCCTGGCATTAGCATAGTTGCTACGTGCAATGCCATCTGTGTAGCCTATAGCCCCAGGATACCTTACCCTTCAGATGGGCCCTGAGGATTCTATTTTAGGATGATAAGAATCTCATCAGGACTTCAGGAGCTTCTGTGATCTCCAGTCTATACGGGAACAAAGGACAGTCACAACTGGGAGGGTGAGGGCAGGCTTTGTCCAGCTGTGAAGCCTGAGGGGTTTCTGCTGAGGAATGACCCTTCTGCACGTTGTGAACATGTACTGCCCTCATTGTTAATAAAAACGGACTGGCCGATAGCTAGACAGGGCTTCCAGGGCAGAGAGAATGCTGAAAAGAAGAAGGGCAGGGTCTGAGGAATCTTGAACCAGATGTGGAAGAAGCAACATGGGAAATTCATAGATGAGGTAAACGAACCTTGAGGCAGCAATAGATTAATAGAAATGGGTAAATTTCAGTTGTAAGAGCTGGTTGAAGATAAGCCTAAGCTATCGGTCGGACATTTATAATTAATATTAAGTCTCTATGTGGTTATTTGGGAGCAGCTACTAGGACACAGAGAAACTCCGCCTACGTGTTTCCTCCCTTCTCTGCATGTGGTCCAGCTCCAGGACTCCATCAGACAGCTCTAGTGATTGGTTGTACATCCTCCGTCAAAGAGAAGCTGCCCCTTCCAGTGTGTGTCCGCCTCTCTCCCCATGTCTGAAAGCCTGGTCAACACCATACCCCCATGAAGAGAATGAGCCTGGGAGCTAAATTCTAGGCTGACAGTAGTTTGGGTGGGTAACCCCATTGACTGGATTCTCCCTAACTTTCCAGACCTGTGTAGGGCAGAGAATGAGTTCATGCTTGTTTATTCACTTCACACCCTTGTTTCGTTCTGGGCCCTTTTACTATGGTGTTTTCCATGTACTGTGCCTCATCTAGACCTGATCACAAGGCACCCACATGGTGCTGCTGCCGCTTTATTGCATAAGGCTGTTGCTGGGAGGCACCAGCTCAGTGCCCTGGGAATGACAGAGGGCTGAACTCAGGTGGCCTCCCACTGGTCACCTCACCAGGTGCCAAAGAGCAATTCTAGTTAATGGAGGCAGATGGGCTGTCCCTGGACATAGGGTTGGTTAGTAAGGGCAGAGCTGGTGCTGAGCCGAGGATCTTACTCAGTGCAGGTCACAAGGATACTAGAAAAGAGAAGACCTCTGCTGAGGGGTGCGGATTGGAGCTGGCATTGGTAGGCCATAGTGTCTTTGATGAAACCACGGGACCCCAACAGAGGGGAGGTCGTGAGGTGAGAGCAGGATTGTAACAGGGTGTGTGGAGCTGCTTGGGGGACATTGTTGCTCCTAAAATGGGGACTTCCACAAATGTCCTGTCTGGTCCCTAAGCTCCTTAGGTTGATGGGCTCTCGTGCAGAGCATCCTGTAATTGGGGCTCCCTTCGCCATGCTGTCCCCATAATCCAGGCATTCACTGGCTTTCTTGGCAAAGTGTCCACGTGCTGGAGACCCACTGCCGCTGAGCTGCCCACCCCAGAGGCTGATGCTGAAGAGGTCTGGAGGTTGGGGCTGGGGGCTGGTATTTCATAGGTTTCAGAGGTCCCACAAAATTACCTGATTGCAGTGTCCCTCTTTCAAGCGTTCACTAAAGGATGGTTTTCCATGCTGCCACCGCTCACATCCCACTACCCACCGGCAGGACAGACCCAACCTGGCAGGGACCACCCCTTGCTGCCATTCACTCCTGTGTCCTCAGGCACAGGCCCTAATATCTCTGGTTATCAATCAAATGAGAACACGAGACTTTGTGTCAAAAAAAAAAATAAAAACAACAAATGAAGGCCCGAGGAGGCGGTTCAGATGGTAGAGGGCTTGCTTTGCATTGTGTGACTCCCCGGGTTCCGTCCTCAGCGCTGTGCTGACAGAACATTGCCCATCTGTAGCCCCAGCACTTGGGAGGTGGAAGCAGGAAGACTGGAAGGTCATCTTTGACGTCACAGCAAGTTTGCAGTCACATGAGGCTGACTTGGCTGGCATAACTTTATATCTATCTATCTATCTATCTATCTATCTATCTATCTATCTATCTATATATACGTAAATAAAAAAACCCAAAAGTGTGCTATAGTACACTCGTATAGTCTCATCATGTCTCACTTGACTATAATAATCTGTTTTCCATTGTTGTGACACTGTTTGCTAACCCCTGGCAAGATCTTTGCAGCACCAGATTTATGGAAACGATGAGGACCAGAGAAACTGGACCCCAGGGTCAGGCTCCACAGCTGCTCCCAAAGCTGGAGCTGACTGTCTGTCTCTTAGGCCTTATGACCACTGAGAATCTCTGCTAGGCACTCATTCCCCAGCCTGGTGAGCATGTGCTATGACTCAGAGGGCTAACACTCTGTCTGGTGTTGCTGGCCAGACACTGAGGGTTAAAGCGGGTTTCTCAGTGCCCATCTCTGATCATCCAAGGAAAGGAGCCCACCTGCGCTGCTGAAGCCACCTGAGCTAGCTGCAACCAGCTACTGGTTCGCTTTGATCCAGGGTTCCTCTCTTGTCTGTTGGCGTCTGCTTGAGTCAGTGTAATTGATTTCCCAGTTCCCTTGACATCCCTGGTCCTTATCTTATCTATGGTCATTTTTCTTTTCTTTTTTAAAGCAATTTCTGAAGGTTCTTGGGATGAAGGTCTTCTGATTATCAAACTGATTTCGTCATCTGTTGTTTGAAATGTCTCATAGCCCATCCTCTTGAGCAGACACTGAGCTATACTTAAACTGCCTCTGTCTGCTGACATTTAATGGTGACACCAAAGCACATTCTAGGTCATCTGTCTTTGCTTCCCAGAGACTTTGAACACATTTCTTTCATTATAGACCTGTGCAGAAACTATGAGAATGCTGGTTTTGATACACAGTTGCTTCTGGATTTGGGCAAAATTGCTTAATCCACAGTCCACTTTCTATTGGCATGTTGGCTTGCTTATGCCAATTATTGTGTTCCAAACGGAATGGCTCTAGAGGGATGATAATTAATGGTTATAAAGCTGTTGAAGAAGGCAGTGCCACACACCACAGCTGGGATAATGAATGCCTCAACAAACATCTGCTTTATCCACCTCTCTCCTCCTTGTCGAGCATACAGACTTCCTCCAAAATACCCGTTCACTGGAGATGTAGCATCATAGACAAATATGATTGTACTGAGCACTGATCCCCTCTCTTTTTTGGGAGTGGGGTGGGGGGAGAGTTCAACCTGAAGGTCAGAAAAACAAAACAGCCAGCCACTGACTCTTGTCTCTACCTCGGTCCGAAGTGGCGATACTGCCTCCCAGAATCTCAGAGTGAGACCGAGACTGAGAGCCCCTCCTCCAGTTTTATAATCCTCTCTAGATCTGGGATTAAAGGTGCGAATCATTGTTGCCTGGTCTGTGAGGCTGGCCAGTGTGACTGTTCTACTTTCCCCGTCCCCAGGCAAGCTTTATTTATTAACATACAAATGAAATGCCACTACATTACTGAAGACAGAGGTATGGTGAAGAAGGGAATGGCGTGTGGATTTATGTTCACACTGTCACAAAATCAAGACACTGTAGGCCCAGTTGTTATAAGTCGGGAGCATCTGGGTATTGTGTCTGTTTTATTGAAAAAAAAAATAGATAGGCAGGGCACCTCTACACTCTTCCCTGTCACTCTGTTTATTGCTCTGTGAGTAATAGTCCCATTGAGTGTTCCCACGTGGCGCCACTCTTCCTGACGTCTGGCCTACAGGATGGGTGGCGCTGCACCTCAACGAGTCCTTGTGTTGCCACAAGCAATCGCATCACGTCTATATCTGACATCACCAAAACAATTAGTCTCATTATGCTAGCATCCCTTTCTGTCGCTTCGATTCACTGTATACAGTTACCCTGAAAACGGAGACTCCCCTTTCACTGACACATCACTCAGTGCCTGGCACGGTGTTCTCAGCAAATACCTGTTGGCTGAGCACATAAACAGGTGGGGCTTGGCTACTTTGAATTTTTATAGGCAATGACACTGCTGGCCGGTATTCTACAGAGAGCAAAAGGCCAATGAGCAGCCATTCTTAAAATGTGGCCAGATTCCTGCAAGGAAAGCTTGGGGGAGGCACAGAGCAAGGAGACTTCACCAGCACTGAGGCAAATGCTGTCATGGGGTACTTGCCTCTCCAGTGCAGTCATGGGGGCTCTTCCACAGACACTGCAGAAGATGTCCTTAGGGCCCCCCGACGCAGAGACTCTGGGAGTGCTGACCCTCTTTCTACGTTCATCAATTTCAGATACTCAAAATCATGTTGAAGTGCATCTCTGGGATGCAGGAAGCACATAGCATCTTCTGGAGCCCGTAAGGAGGAGGGACCTGCACAAGGGATCAGCTGACATAGAAACCAGGCTACCAGGCCTTTGGTGTGGACACAGTTAACACCTCTTAGTGTTCAGTGGCCTGATATCTAAGGTGAAAGATAAGGGGTTGAACCAGATTAGAAACTGGAATGGAAACTCCATAGAGGTCCTCAGCCCCAAGACTGCGCATTCCCGAGATGGTACAGCCATAGTGGGTCTCAGCCCTAGGACTACAGATTCCCCGAGAAGGTACAGCCATAGTGGGTCTCAGTCCCAGGACTGTACATTCCCGAGAAGGTACAGTCACTGAGGGTCTTAGCCCCTAGGACTATGCATTGCCAAGCTACAGCCATAGCGGGTCTCATCCCCAGAACTGTGCATTCCTGAGAAGGTACAGTCACTGAGGGTCTTAGCCCCTAGGACTATGCATTGCCAAGCTACAGCCATAGCGGGTCTCATCCCCAGAACTGTGCATTCCTGAGAAGGTACAGTCATAGAGGGTCTCAGCCCCCAGGACTGTGGATTCCCGAGAAGGTACAGCAGCACCTGTCTATCCACAGGGGCAGAAGGAAGTCTCTTTCTTCTTAAATACACAATAAAAGTTTAGTAGGAGACATTTAGTGGGAAGTATGTGAGAACTCTTTCTGCTTTATTGTTCTGAAACTGCTCTTATATGAACAAAACAAATCCATTAAAATGAAACCATTTCCCAGGTAAATAAGCACTTAGCAAGTTCAACTCAAGGTATCAGGAGACCCTGGAGATGGGTAAGACCCTGCACACTGTTAGAGGCAAGCTGATTTGTCTATGGACACTCCATCGTTTGTCCTAGTAGAAATGGGAGGAGGGATTCCTAAAGACTAATGACCCCCCCTTTTTTTAAGTCATTATCAGGAACACAGAAGGTTTCTCTTTGCTTCTTCTAAGTCCATCAGGTCAAAACAGAACCTTCTTGTTATCTTGAGTTGCCTATTTAGGAATAGCACAGTGTGTCTGGCAGATTCTCTCTCTGGGTGACAGTTATTTCTGTCATGATCTTCCTATTCCTTTGAACACATTCAGGACACTGCACACTACTTTTTCTTTTCCTGGGGATGGGAGAACACAGGCTGGTAACAGGGAAAGCGAGCTCATGGTCAGGGAAGTACCCCT